ATTTTAGGTTCTTATTTTAGGGCTTGTTTCATTTTATTTATTTTAATTTTCTTTTTCTTTTAGATAGGGTCTTGCTCATCACCCAGGTTTGGGTGCAGTGGTATTGTCACAGCTCACTGCAATCTCCAACTCCTAGTCTCTAGCAATTCCTCCTGTCTCAGCATCCCGAGTAGCCAGGACTACAGGTGCCCTCCATAACACCTGGCTAATTTTTCTATATTTTTGTAAAGACAGGGTCTCACTCCTGCTCAGACTGGTCTTGAACTCCTAGCCTCAAACAGTTTTCCCACCTTGGCCTCCCAAAGTGCTAGGGATACAGGCATGAGCCATCGCACTTGGCCTGATTTTAGGTTTTTAACCATGATGACAAGTCACGGAGTTGTGTAAGGCTGGGCTTCATTTCTTTTAAGTTGATGAGAGATGTACTGTTTTCTGACTAATCACTGATTCTTTAATGAGTACATTATCATAAAATTAATGCTGATGTGACTGTCTTAAGAGACCACCAAACTTTGCTTGGCAGACACGAACAGCTCCTTCACAGAGTCCCTGAAGTGACTACAAATTCAATTCCACATCCCCTGTGAAGCCCTGAGCGTACCTTGGTCATACAGGTTTTCCAGAACCCCTTCAGCTAATCAGAGTTTATAGAGAACTGGCCCCAGAGGATCTCTGCTTTTTTCATCTATTTCCTATGTGGCCCCTGACCCACAGGCTAACTTGTAAGAACAAAGCCACAGCAGGGAAGAGCCCTTGGTGTCACCTACATGGGAAGTTGCCATGGCCCACACTTTCCTGAATTTGGCTTTTGGTCCTTATTTTTACCTTATGCTTCCCCTTATGCTTTGGAGAATATTCTGCAAATTCAGTCTGCCTTAGGGGAAAGAGGAACCAGCTGCAGTGAGCCTAAGTTATCTGGCCCAGCCTTGGAAACCTTCACCTCTTCCTCTACCAAAAGAGTGAATCCCCATCTCTAAGTAGCTGGAAAAAATAAAAAAAAAAACTCCAACTACTTCATATTTTATTTATGTTAAAAAGCATCAATATAAGAGACCAGTCTTCTCTCTCAGGAAATTTGTTCTCGTATTTGACTTGCAATGCCTTCATGCTACAAATTCTGTCCTCCAAAGAGAAGAAAAGCTGATTGGCATCATCTATCTTCAAAGTCTGTATTTTTAATGGCCACTACTAAATTTTTGGACATAACATCTTCTCCAGACATAGTAAGCTTGGTTCCTTTATTGTTTCTGCATACATTGCATTTTCCAGTTCTTTGTGTCTGTTCCGACTGACCTCATGTAAATTATAGTATTAGATGCTGAAGAGTGATATAGGGTAGACAAGTGCTTCTGGAGGGTCTTAGAATCTCTTCTAAAGGGAGAGAGAAAATAAATATGTGAAATATATTTACACACATTAAACATTAAATAAATACATAGGTGACTTCAGCTATACCGTACAAATAACGTTGAAGGAGTATTAGAGATGACTGTAACCAAAGTTGGCCAGTTATTGTGAGAAGAGTAAACAGCACTGGAAAGCAAGAAGGACCCAGTCTCACTGGAAAACCTGGAAATCTCTTTCCTGCTCAGCAATCATGTTCCTTGGAGTCTTCATGTCCAGCACTTAGCACCACGGGCTTATATTAAGCTCTCAATAAGGATTTGTTGTCTATATGACAGCTGGCTGTCCTACTCTAGGAAGGGTATATGTGGGTCATTACAAAAGTTTTCAGATACACAAAAATCAAGAAACACAAAATCCACACCAACAGAAACAAATGAAGCCCTCCCAGCAGCACCGATAAGCCAAACCAGTTGGAACTTGCGTGGGTGAATCAGAATGTTGACTCTGTTTCTTGGAAATGAATAATGGACCATCACACAGTCTGTCTCAAAACTTTCATAGCAACCTGTACCAGTATAGCTTGCTTTGTAAATTTGTAAATAATCCTTATATCCTATATACTCCCAGTTTTAGAAATCTTAAAAAGCATCAGTATAAGAAATGTTTTTAATATTTACCAGTCAGAGCAGAAAGAACTTTAAGTGGCAAAACATCACAGATATGAGATGCTACGGTGCATTTGCTCCTACTGTAGGTTGCCTTTCAAAAGATTATTCCCTCCATTCAGCCTCCCCAAACACCCGCTGCCCCTTGTATTGTCATCCATGCTGCCCCTGGAGCCCCCTGAAGACTGTGTCACAGGCTTCCTTTTCTATGCATTATGTTTGGGTCCCGCCTCCTTACACGTGCTTAACATGTAAGCAGCAAGAATAAAAAAAAAAAAAAAACAGTCTATGAAACGTTGTATTCTGGATTTGATGCTGGCCAGATTAAGGATTTGGTGAAATAACTGGTGAAATCTGAATAAGATCTATAATGTGTGTAATAGTTAATTTCTTAGTTTTGGTCAATGAACCGTGGTTACATAAGATGTAAACATTAGGGGGAGTTTGGTGAAGGGTATAAGGTTATGAATGTTTTACAAAAAAGGAAATGTTAGAAACTGAAGTAAATGTGAACATCCTGGGTATTTTTAGGACATAATTTTTCAAGAATTAGAAAATTACAAACACTAAAATATACCTTAAATAATTCTAGATACTGAGGGCGGCGCCTGTGGCTCAAAAGAGTAGGGCGCTGGCCCCATATGCTGGAGGTGGCGGGTTCAAACCCAGCCCCTGCCAAAAAAAACCCCAAAAAACTACAAATAATTCTAGATATTGTAAGGTAAATAAAGTAAAAAATAGCCCATCTATGCTCACCCCCTTTCCCATCTAGGTTTCTGCTTGGTCCCTTCCATCAACTCCTGCAGCTCCAGCTGTGCCCTCTGTGCTGAGGTCAGAAGTGACCCTGGCTCTTCCACGTCTCAGTCCCACCCACCTACTCCTTTTATCGTCCCCTTGTCCTTACCCTACAATAGACCCTCAGATCTCTTGTCAGGGATACCTTCCTGTAGTCTTCCCACCCTCCCCAACTGCCTTCAAAAAGAGGGCGTTAGAAGGACATCAGTGTGACTTTCCTATTTTAAAAAACCATCAGTGGCTCTATATTGCTGCTGGTCTAAACAGTAATAAACATCTACCTAGAAAAGCTATGGATATAGCTAAATTAGGTGGTCAGCTCAAACCCACCTCCCTCCTTCCTCTGCCCCCAACCCTAAGAAAACAGAAGGAGCACAGTAGTCAGAAAGTCCTACCGTGGATCTCGCCTTTGTTACTTTGGGCAATTTAGTCTTTGCTTCTGAGCCTCAGTTTCCTCTTGTCTCAAATACAGACTGTGCTTGACATGCAGGGCCTTTGTGACGATTATACAAAACGATGTATGTCACTGGAACCCCAAAGTGTGCTCTTATTATTAGTATTGGTGCATAACCCTAGAATGCCTTGAGGAATAGGTCTCTTGATCATCTCTGCTGTGTGTGTATGTTATTGAGGTGGAGGTTGCGATAGACCACCATCTACTTTCCAGACCAAAGGGACTTTCTATAGGGAAGCTAATGCCAGTGGGAGAAATTGAGCACTTTCTCTATCCCTGCTGTGCTAGGACTGTGCGCTGCTTCCTGCCACAGGTGCGGCCCCAGAGCCATTAGAATTGAAGGGAGCCCAGCCTTGGAACTGGATTCTGTTTCCCAGAATAGAATGCCCTTGCCACTCCCTTGGTCTGCTCATTCCTGTGGGTGCAGTAGTGCTTTTCAGCAGAGTTCTCCAGTGGCCGCCCTACTTTCCAGGAGAGCTGCAAACTAGAATGCACTTACTGTAGTACTCCATGGGGTCCAGACTGTGCTGAATGGATTCAGTGCGCCATCTTGAGTGGCCTAGTACAGTGCATGGTACATAGTTTGTGCTTAATCGGATTGGATGAATGGATTTAATCTCTAAGATGTGGCAACTAATGCATGCTTACTTAAAAGACTGGGTAATGAATTTCCCAGTGAGCTAGATTATTAGGCCAGTGGCTCTAAACCTTGGCTATACTAATCACTAGGAAAGTTTTTGTTTCCTTTTAACACTGATTTCTGGGCTTTACTCATGCATATACCCTGCCATTTTCTAGTGCCTGGCACAGTACTTGGCATATAGTGGATAGTCATTAATTGAATAAATTAATGGTTTCTTTCATTTAAATCACAAGAAAATTGCATAATGCCACTGAAGACAAAGAGAGTAAATGTTAGGACACATGAGTTTTGTTTGGGATTTAGTTTGTACTTGTGTATGTGTACTAGTTTTCCGACCCTCTGCACTTTGGCATCTGTCTGCTTGCCCATGATAGATTGTTTTTTCCTGTTCATTAACCGTCACCCAGCCAGATGCCAGGAACTGACAGCAGCCAAAGATGCTGGACTTTGTCAAGGAATCCCAGTTTAAAATATTTTGTCCCCATTATTCCCGTCTATACATAGGCTTTAAAGATTATCCTCACTATACATGAGATAGTACATCATACGGAATGTGATGTTCAGCCCACCGTCTGCCATTAAGGAAACCACAGAAGGCTCTAGACACATGGGTCACAACTCCAATTTTTTTCCCTAAAATCAACTTATTTAGATACAAAATAATACACCAAGAAAGGTAATTAGAGACATCATGTCCAGGCACTCGGTCACTTTCATTTTACAGTGAAGAAACTGAAACCAGACGGATTTGGGGACTTGTCCAAGATCACATAGCTTGTTACGGACACAGTTGGTGTGAGAAATCTGACGTCCTGGTCCTCAGGCCTGGACCACTACAGTGTACGCATAGCATTTCTGATTACATTAGAAATCTAAGATGACATTTTTTTTCCCATTGTAGTACCTGTGTTAGGAAGAAAAATATCTGAGAAAAAGAAATTATTACAGGTTTCTCAGAGGGTTTGGGAAGGAGGAGTGGAAGTGGAAAGGGGAGAGAGCAAAGGAAAGGAATTCTTAAATGAGACTTTGAAACATCTCAGAAAAAGTGTGTTTTGTGGCAGCACCAAGTTCATTGTGTATCTTCCTTTGTTTTCAGAATTTTCCCCAGAGAATACCTCCTTCAGCAGATCCACCTGTATTCCCTCGCCGACCTACAGCAGGTAAGTGCTCAGAGGGGCCATTTCATTTTTGTTCTCTTTCTTTTGATTATGGTCTTGGCCCTGAATTCTGCCATCATGGGGGGAGTTTTCACCATAAGCCCTAATTAACATTCAGTTAATTTTTCTTCAGAGCCAAGGAGTAGAGGGAGTTTAGTATAAAAATATATTATAGGATGGTAACAAAGAGCTTTCATACGGTGTTGGTGGGGCGTAAAGTGATGCAGCCACTTTGGAAGCCAGTTTGGCAATTTCTCAAAAATTGCCATGAGACCTTGCAGTTCTACTCCCAGGTAGACTCCCAAGAGACCTGAGAACACATGTCCACATAAAAACTCACACACAAGTGTTCAGAGCAGCATTATCCATCATAAGCGAAGAAGTGGACCCAACCCAAATGTTCATCAGCTGGTGAGTGGATAAACAACATGTTATACATCCCTATGATGGCTGTTATTTGGCTAAAAAGGGCGTGAAGTGCTGACGCGTGCTGCAACCCAGACGAACCTTGGAAATAGCATGCTAAGTAAAAGAAGCCAGACAGCAAAGAATACATATTGCATGATTCACTTTAAATGAAATGTCCAAAATAGGCAAATCCCCAGTGACAAAGGTACACTAGCGGTTGCCAGAGCCTGGGGAGGACAGAGGCCTGAGGAGTGACGGCTAATGCATACGTGGTTTCTCCTGGAGCTGAGGAAAGTGTTCTGGAATTAGTGGTGATGGTTGCGCAACCTTGTGAATACGCTAAAAACCACTGGATTGCTTTCTTGAGCAGAGGGAATTTTATGGTATGTGAATTATATCAGCAAACAAACTGTATGAATAAAAAAGATTTAAATTAAGTAAAATTTAAATGAAACATAACAGATCTCATTGGAGTCAAAATCATCTCTCTATACGTTTATTAGCACTTGTCCCTTTAATGATTGACCCGGTTAGCAGCCGGGAAGAAACTGACCTTTTGTGTGTTCAACTCTAAGCCTGAACATGTTACCTTTGGTTAATCATTTAAATCAACAACTCCCTCCCTAAGAAGCTGTTAGACACTATGATTCTTTCAAGAGTCAATTTAAAAAAAACAATTGTGACAACTTTTAGAGCATCTGGAACTGCTGTGATTCTGTTCTTTTGTTATTTTCCTCTTTGGCGATTTTATCGAGAAGAAATTAAGTCAACTTAAAAACTGTGTTCATATCCTTTACTTGTTTTTCAGACTTTAAATTACTTTTCCAGGCTTTTTAAAAATGTCTTTTTTCTTTTAATTAAAAAAACTTAAAGACGTTGGTGCTCTGTTTGACCCCTCAGAGGTAGGAAAGTTATTTTTCTTTTTAAAAAATTATTATTATTATTTTATTGTTTGGGATTCATTGCGGGTACAAAGAATTAGGTTACACTGATTGCATTTGTTAGATGAAGTCCCTCTTATAACTACATCCCCCCCCAAGAGGTGTGTCATACACCATGACCCCCATACCCCGCCTGCCTCCCTCTCCCCACTTGTTCATTCACCTACCCCTCCCCCTGTTGTATTAGCTCATCTACTGCCTTCATATGAGAATGGAGTATATTGGACTCTTGCTTCTCCATTCTGGTGATGCTTTACTGAGAAGAATGTGTTCCACCTCTATCCAGGTTAAGAAAGTTATTTCAAATGGCAGGAATAATTTTAGAGTGTTTAGTTGGAGAGGGCTGAGAGAAGACTAGGGTTTTGATGTCCACATGTGCATCAAGTTTAAACTTATTTGTGCATAGTCAGCTGCCCCAGCTCCTTCAGTCCTGCCGGCCCTTTACCACGTAGTCAAGCTGTAGTGATCTGCTACCTGGGGTGGAAAGGGATATATTTTTAATTACAGTCATCCAGTGGTGTTCAAGGGACAGAATTGGTTAAAACCCCCATTATACATTTGTCTATTTTCTAGAGTCTATCTGATCACAATATCTGAGGACACAGACGCTATCACTTAAGAAGTATGCTTAAAGGCCCAGAACATTCTTGTAAAGGTGGTTTAAAATAGAATGGGTGGGCTCCAAAGTGAGTACTCTTTGAGGAAGCCTTTCAAAAACGAGTTTTGATATCAGAGGAAGGGAAAGAATTGAAGAAATTCCATATTCATTTTGGGGTGTCAAAGTAGTGTATCCGTTTGGAATAATAAAACTTGCTTTCTAAGACTTCCTGTACCCTGCTGTCTTTTTATTTTTGCCCTTTCTTTCTTTTCCCCCTTGTAATAATCAAACCATACATGCCAAGCAGCTTACTTAACTCAGTGGCAGCACTATTCTTGGTCCACCAAGCCATTAGCCCCTGGAGCCCCATAAGCAGCTTAATCAGTTTTCAGCTTCAGTAGTAAAATGATCGAGGCAATCACCAGCTTATCAAACTCCCCATGGACGGGTGGCTAGAGCTCAATGTCTCCATTTACTTAACAGCTTCCTCTAACCTGGTTCTTTGTGCCTGGCTCTCAGAGCCACAAACTTATCATATTTAGAGGAAGTTTAATTCAATTACCTTTTCTGCCTGAGGTGGGTTAAATTGGCTTTAGCTTTGATCTGTCTGCATCTTGACTATCAGCACTGATGGCCACCCTCTCCCCATCTTCCCTGGGTTTCTGAGTAAATAACAAGCGTGTTTTCTAGATCTGAATTGTTCTTCAAATTGTAAGAAAAGGGACACAAGGAGGAAGGAAAAAGAATACTATTGCTTTGTGAAAAAGAATGTCGTGGTGGCAGGAAACCCTTCGTGACTGACCACCACCAGCCCCACAGGGTCCTGCACTGCTTTGGCCTCCGCTGGCCTACTTCATCCTCATCCTGTGTGGTGTCCGGGTCAGGAACGTTAGAGTAAATCATTTCTCCCTATGTGATTCCCCTCCGAACTGCTGAAAGTTTCTATCAAAGCAGATCTTTCTGTCCTATAAAATAACTATAGAAAGGAAATTTTGGTGTACAGATTTTGCAGAGGAAGAGAAGATAAACTAATGTGAGTGACTGAAGACTTATATAGATCCAATTTCTCCTTAGTGTATTTGATTTTTCCCATTAGCTTTTATGTTTATAAAAAAACACAACATAGACATTTTCCCCTTTGAAGAGAAAAAGAAAAGGTAGGAGAAAGGTAAGAATTTAATAATAGGCTCAGCGCCTATAGCTCAACCGGCTAAGGCGCCAGCCATGTACACCTAAGGTGGCGGGTTCGAATCCCCAGCCCGGACCTGCCAAACAACAATGACGGCTGCAACCAAAAAATAGCCGGGCATTGTGGCGGGCGCCTGTGGTCCCAGCTACTTGGGAGGCTGAGGCAGGAGACTCGCTTGAGCCCAGGAGTTGGAGGTTGCTGTGAGCTGTAAAGCCACGGCACTCTACCCAGGGGGACAGCTTGAGGCTCTGTCTCAAAAAAAAAAAAAAAAAAATTAAAAAAAACTAAAAGCAACGAAAAAAATCCAAGAACAAAAAAAAAAAAAAATTGCAACCTTCTTGTCTGTTTTTGGTTTCACGTTTATAGGTAACAGTCCCTGAAATTGAGCAAAGACTCAATTCAATAATTTGGCTGAAGATTTCAAGCTCCTTAATGCTTCTTTTGTCATATTCAAGACAATTTTCCCACCTCTTGTCACTATTTGAATTTACTGCCCTCTGTGCATGCATCCTCCTTTACTATATCATACAGTTGGATGTGAGGGAAAAACTAGCAAGGACTGACAAGCGCTTCGCAAAGGAAATTTTCTCCACTTGTACTGGGAGCTATAGTCACCTGCCGTTGGTCACTAGTGCCAGTTATTACCAAAATTTATGCTGGCAGTAAGTCCCTAATTATCTATGCATTTCACCATTGATTGACTTGCTCACTGGGTACTCGCTGGGTATTACTAGCATATCGAAAAGGGATTATTTGAACAGCACTTGGGTCTGTAATCAGCTGACAGCATTTAGCCATCACACGTACGGTAGAGCCAAGTACTCCTGCCTAGTAGTAGGGTCGGGAAGGGGCCTAACCTGGCGGCAGTGGCTCCCCAGGTCCTAGGAGTTCTGCATTTACCACTTAGATTCACACAATTTCTTAGTTTGGAATTCTGTTAGAAAAATATATTCAATTCATATGTTTTTTAAATATAAATCTAAACAAATATATTGTTGATTATTTTTTAAATAAAATCTCAGCAACAGACTTTCTTTCAGGAGATGTGAATGCATAGTGGTTTTTTGAACTGACAAAGCAGTTCCTTAGAAAGGATTTAGTAGAAAAAGGACTAAGCACATGTGACTTAATGGGCAAGTATTAGCCTTGCATCAAGGCTAGGCATTGAGCTCTAGCCACCCATCCATGGGGAGTGCATGCTATGAAACTAAGGCACTACTTTAAAGAACTTTCTCTTGGTTTGCTACTTCTAGATGGGGCAATAGAATAGTATTTGTATTTTGTTATTTTCAGTCTGTTCAGCAATATCACAAATCTATGGAAAGGCTCTTAGATAGAAGTACAATAAAAAGACACGTTCACCAGGGCCAGGTGTGGCGGCTCACACCTGTAATCCTAGCACTCTAGGAGGCCAAGGCTGGTGGATTCCTTGAGCTCACTAGTTCAAGACCACCCTGAGCAAGAGCAAGACCCCATCTCTAAAAAATAGCCAGGTGTTGGGGCGGGCACCTATAGTCCCAGCTACTTGGGAGGCTGAGGCAAGTGAATTGCTTGAGCCCAGGAGTTGGAGGTTGCTGTGAGCTGTGATGCCGTAGCACGCTAGCAAGTGCGAGAAAGTGAGACTGTCTCAAAGAAAAATAAAAAAGAAAAGAAAAGACATGTTCCCATGAGACAGCAGGAACTCTTCCTTAACTCTCAATGCCTGAACTTCTGGATGAGCTGTCCCCTGTGAAGTATGTGACAAACCATCTCTTTGTTCACATCCCCTTGGCTTGTTTAACACTGATAAAAAGTTTCCAAATTTTGAGTACCTTAGTATGAGTAAATTAATGGTCAAGAGTTCTCAGTTGTTCTTAAAGAGCAAATC